TGAGTAACTGTCATAGGAAAGCCTTGTTACCTGCATAAAACATTGTGACAAACCCCTACCTCCCCGGAAAATGGGGGAGAGGTAAGGAAGAAGTGCTACAAGTTCAGTATTGATTTTATTTACTCCTACTTTCCATCATCCTGATGCTTTTGAAATTGCTACTTCTTTCACTGGTTGTGTAAGGCAACATCTATAAGCTCTGCAACAAAAAAGTGGCAGCATAAATGCTTAAAAACTTCAAACAGTTTAAGTAGGGAAAAAATCAGAGATGCTGTGAGACAGAGAATTAGAAATAAAAGCATTCAACTAGGTGTTGGTCTGAAGGCATGCTGGGGGTATCAAAACATTGCATAGCATATAGTCAATATTACAGAGATGAACAAGAGAGGCTGCATTTAATGATAGCTTTTCTCACTCATTTTACTGCAACTACAAAGCAACAACTCCCGCTTGACAAAGCCAGGGCTGGACAAGAACACCTGCCTGAACTACAAAAACACTTCTTACACAAGAAGAAAAACTGAATGGAAGAAGGGAATTTTTTAGACTGGTAAAAATCAGAGTTTGAAAACAGCCATTCAGTTATGCAAGTTCTCCTGACTCCAAAGTTTAGGAGAACCTGAATAAGTAGCACTGCCTTTAATCCCCCCCTCTCCTTTCCCCAGCAGTAACATTTCACACCTCTCACATACCGGTGTGGGAAGGAGATGGTTCATCACTGCTCCACCATTCCACGTGCTGGTGGAAGAAGTTCCAGTGATGGAAAATTAGCCTTTCTCTGGAAAAAGCATCTGCTTTCCATTTAAGAGGTCACCTTCATTTGGAGAAAGAGGGATTGTTTGTTTCCATGGGATTTGCTGCATTTCTCTGTGGAAGCTGTTCATCATCCCAGTTCCCCACACTTCTGGCACCCTCTCTGTGGACTTTGCTCCAAAACCGCATCACAGCAGCTCACAGGGGAGGAAAACCACAGCGTGCTGTAGGGCTCACCACAACGGCAACTTGAGACATCCCAACTCCATCTCTGTTCTCAATTCCATTTCTATCCAAAATGTCACAGTTCTCCACAAAGAAAACAACACTGAAATAGACAACTGATTTTTTTGAAAACACAAGGCCAAGATTTACTCCTACAATGCTCGGGCTCTGAGCCGGAAAAACAATAGCTGTGATGCTGCAGAGAATTCAGCTTGAATTTAGTTCCCGCTGTCTCAACGTCTCTCCTGCCTCCAGTGGGTAAGCCTTTGGTTACCCTGATCTTCTTGTCTTCAGCACCAGCACGTCAATAGCCTGCCCAAGGTCTCTCTGGCAAGATATTAGGGGCAAGAGGAAGCGAAGGGACATATCCCCATCAGAGACCTGCTAATGGAAGTGTATTGGAGGGAAGGGACCACTGGAAAGTCATTTCAACTGAAGGGAATCTGTAGGTATAATAATCTCTACAGTAGATGGCATAGAGAAGTGAAATGAGGTTAACAAAAAAAAAAAAAAAAAAGGAAGTATGGGTTGCATACAGAATACTTATTTCAAATCAAATCTGATCCTCAAATGGAAACTTCAGTCTGTGAGTCTGGACAACAAGGTTTCATATATTTGCTCTCCAAATGGACCTATCAAACCTATTCACAGCTTCACTGGAATAGATGAGATCCCACAAAGCTGTCTTCCTTCTGTGGGCTGAACACAAATAGTACTCACAGGGGAACAAAAGACTTCTCTTTAAATTCCAAAATATCTCCCAGCTGCAATGTGGATTTTGTGGGTCAAAGTGAAGATCTGCAATAGCAGCTTTACATTTAGGTTTGCATCCAGCTGTTGTGTAACACAGCCATGGCACAGGTAAATACAGACCATTTTCACAGTCAGGTCATCTGAAACATGGAGCAGCTGAATGACTTGATCACAAAGCAAATCCATTGCAAGAGAATTAAATAGAAACTGAGTAATAAGACTACTGTTATTATTAAAAAGAGGTTATTTAAGAAAATCATTACAGCTTTTACATTTTTCCTGGTGTAACTCAGGAGGACCACTAAGTGGAAGGCCACCTGCACCACTCAAACAGAATTTTCAAAGCTGACTTGCAATGAGATTTTCTCTAGCTTTAAACTTCACTCTCTGTGAAAGAGAAAACCTAACAAACATTTTCCTTGTTTAGCCTTTAAAAACAAAACAGAACAATAAATCTATTTTACTTAACATTTTGGGATTCCAAGTGTATTTTCCTCTGAAGCTTTCACTAGGAAAAAAACTAATTCCTTGATGAGCTCTGTGCCTCAAGATTGTGTTACTCTGCACACGCACAATGAGAACTATGGAATTAGGCCTGTAAGAAACACTGCATTGCTGGGTACTTAGCGGAAAGGCTCAAAATTCAGATTTGCTGCCCAGTGGCATGTTTTGATAATTCAGTATCTATTTTCATCCCAAATCAAGATGAAAAAATGAAATATTCATGAATTCTGTAGAACAACAATGCACTTCATAGTTTTTCTACAAAGAGAATTGACTTTTCAAATTCTCTTATAAGCTACTTTCTGTTACTGGGTTATACCTTCTCCTGGAAGTTTGTATGGGGACCGGCAGTCTTTATTTTCCCCTTTGAGACATTATACCCTGTAGGGTACCCCCTGTACCCTCTACAGTTACCCTGGTCTCCATGTCAGGGTGATGGGCATTTCCCAGTGCAACGCGTGCACGGGGTGGGGACGTACAAACGACTGAGACATTTGGGATTAGTTTAACACCACCTTTGCCTATGTCTTCTGGGCACTCTGCAGAGCAAAGTTGAGTGAGATGCTCTCGAGTGGCAGTTCGAGACAAAGCATACTGATTTGTTACTGGCCATGTTGTCACTTCTCCAATACCAGACATAATTCATGGAGACTGTGTTGCCACCAGCAGTTTCACAGGAAATGCTGCTGGGGCCACATGACAGTGTCATCCCGTCCCGCTGACATTCGCCACATTATGGTTTGAATATGCATGTATACGTTAATTATAGTCCCTCTCTGACTCAAACCCAGAGTGACTCTTTCATCCTGCAGCTATGAGGAGCAAGCCATGCATGCAAAGACAAAGGCCGTGTCCTCGCACCCACACCAGCAGCCTTTAAACACTCAAATTTACATGTTGGGAATACCAATTGCAGCCAGAGTAAACGAGTTAAAAGGAGTCAAGGCTTTTCAGGAGTTTTTTTGTATCCTAAGGGGACATCAGAGAATTAGGTGTACAACGAGCTTCACAACCTACAGGTGCACATCCTTAGCTAAGAAGCAGAATTAATGACTAGGATTAACCGTGCCAGGGGCAGCAATATAAATACAGCAGGCATTTATATACATGGGGAAGTTCAACCATGTTGGAGTTTCTCAGTATCAGAAAACAAGTGGTTACCTGTGATAACTATGCAGTAATAGCATATTGTCTTTACAGATGCTTTACATTAACAGCATATAACAATTCTTACAGCAAGGTCACTTTAGAAACTATTTGAAAATGCACTGCAATTAAGAGCATATTAACAGGTTCAGCATAAGAGAGTGGTAGGATACGCCTAGGACAAACTAAATGGAAATCAGTCACTCCAAATTGATTGCGATCATATCTGGTCTCCATCGAGAGCCAGTAATTACCTGCATTTATCTCAGGGGCATTTGCATCATACACATCTGTTAACGTGTAACTAGAGTGGAGTGTATGGCACCTCATCCTAAAACACAAGTGACGGAAGAGAGGGAAGAAGAATCTATTTCCTTGCTTGTTCAGGCAAGGTGCTATTTACCAGCAAGTTCAAAGACCAGGGCACAGGCACTTCTGATTAGAGAGAGCTTTTTCATCATGAGGGATCAAATATCGGGCCAGGGGTGCACGGAAGCTGTAGCGCACCCTTCTCCAGACACTTTGCAGGTTTCTGCTGGACGAGGCCCTGAGCAACCTGCCCAGCCAGACTCCTTACCTTTTTGGTTTGTTCTTTGAGGCTGAGCAATCATTGTTTTCTTCCTGGTAGATTGCCTTGAAGTTGCTCTGAATGCTTACCTAATGCAACTACAAATATCTCACAGACTTCAGGAAAGCTGTGTTTTATATAGACCACAAAATACTGTACTGGAAGCAAGAGAGGAGTTCAGAGAAAGGGACAATACATCATACATATAGCAACATCATTTAAATCCAATTCTGATGCTTGCATTTATCTCCAGTGTTTTCTAACAGAAATTAGATATTATTTTCCTTCTGCACAGCAATAAACAATAACAATCAGCAGCAACATCTGGGCTCTGCTCTTCTTAATAGCAATTTCATGCAGTTATAACGTAAAGTACAAGAAATGAAATTGGAAATGAAACAGAAATGATAATTTGGCACTTGAAACTTCACTACAGTGGTGCAATTTTAAGTCATTTTAACTGTAGACTTCTGCTCTTAGGTTATATTTTACAATAACTTTATTCATCAAGAGACATTTTTTAGTCATCATCGCCCATGTTTTGGGGAGTGTAAACTTATTTTTCCTTTTCCTTTTTAGAGAAGCCTATGGAACTGAAGTCACTTCAAACTGAGATTCGCCTGTATTCAGAGTACCCCGCTCACTCTTCCCTGCAGCACATCAGGATGAATAGAGGCACACAAGTTTCCTCTCAGACGAGGCACAGACTGACTGCCAGAGCTGCTGCTGTCTTTGCTGGACCTTTGACATCATGTACTTGTTAGGAGGCAGCCCACCAGAAAGCATGACCAGGGATGGACGAGGCTAGGTACAGCACTGACATTTTACCTACCATCACTTTCCACTGATCTGACTAGGCTTACAAAGGGCACGTGCTGAAAACCCTCAGGGGATGATTTACAACATCTGCCAATGACAAGCCACCACCAGTGAGTGTGCAGCCATGCCTGTGCAGCACTTCAAATAATACACTCCCAGGAATTCCCCTTCAGTAATAAAAATGCAACAGCAACCAAAACTCTAAGGGCACAGGGCCCTGTCCCGCACCAACCTTATCATGGAGCTCTCTGGAAAGCCACACAGCAGCAGACGCTGGTTTGAAGATGCTTCGTCTGATCTGTAACTTCGCTGCAAATGGAGCCGAGTGCATAGTCGTGCTTCAAGTATCCCTTGCAGAGTAACTTCTTTGCACATCAGTTTGTACAGCTGGTACCCCTGAGAACAAGAGCAAACCTCTTATTTCCTTCACCAGCACAATTTTGTTCCACAAGGACTTCAAGGATTGTCCCCCTTTCTGCTTATATTAATGATTTTGCCCTCCTTGGGCAGAAGGAAGGGTTCACAGTTATAAATATTGTGTTACTTTTCCCTTTTAAATTCCACCTTAGTGCATTATGAAAATACCCTCAAAATTAACAAAAATGATGCTGCCGGTTTGCAAAAGCCGCTGTCCAGCATTTACTCAGCACTGATTCTCATCTCAGATGATGTCTCATCTGTCACTCCTGCCTCTTCAATCATACTTAGAGAAAAGCCTTGGGGTTTTATTGCTGTTTGGTTCACCAGCCTCCTGCAGGAAGCCTTCTTTTTTCATTCCCTGGTAGCCCCTTGAAACTCCAGTCCTGGCCTCACAGCGGCTACAATGATACAATTCATAATAATTCAGGAAGCAAGCTCATTAGCTACAAATGTATGCAATGTTCATTAGCATTTACCACATAGCTGCAATTAGTAAATGTTTGCATTAGGTCTCCTATTTTGTTATTCCTTGTTTTGCCAGATTAACACATGATGCGTTTCCTTCTGTCTTGTCGTTAGCCGTCTGAAACTTTTCAGCAGGGAATTACAATTTGCATTTCTTGACTTAATGTTCATTATTTCATCAGAAAAAAAAAATCAAAACATTTGAGTCTCAGGACTTTTATATCCCTCAAAACCAAATAATCACCAGTGCAGGCTGATCCCAAAATCTTTGGAAAGATTCTCATGTACTTTCATGTGTCTGAAAAAATATTTTGTACCTTTGGGTCAAACGCTGCTTTACGATTAATAAGAGATTTACTGTTGACTTCCAGTAACCAGAATTCTACTTTATATCTCCACCTGCTTAACAAATGTGAAACAATCCCCATCTGCCTTACACAAGTCAATTATTCCTCTTACTGCTGCTATCAGGCAATAGAAATAATATATTGGACTGACATTCATTTAGGATTATTTATCCAGCAACTTCACAGTGACACTGCAGGTATGACAAGTGCATAGGAAAATCACTAGGAGAAGAAGATATGATAAAATTGCAGAGGTTATTTTCTGTAATTACCGAGTTCATCCAAACAGTTATACAATATTAGGGGCTTCAGGCTGAAAGGACAAATTTCAGCATGAGGTTTCAGACATGGCAAATGACTAAATTGAAAACTATGGGAAGCATAAAAAGCTGCCTAGAGTGCACTTCAAAAATATTATTTGGAAAAAAATAAAAGATTTGTAGCAGAGAAATAAAAACAGAAAGGGACCAAAGAAACAAGGAAGTAAGCAAAGGGATTTACTGCATGTCGTCACCCCAGCTGCACCGTTTGATCATGCAGGTGGCCACCTTCAACACAGGAGCAGCTACATGGGTGTAACTGCTGCTGGGAATCGAGAGTGACAACACTCGGCGTTTTGTCATGGGAAGAACAAATGGTGTTACCAGATCCACTTGCAAATTACACTGCCTGATGGATTCATAAACACTGCCACTGCAACTGCAGGCGGAAACTTCAGGAGCACTTTATTTACAAAATTTTACAGTTACATAAAAAAACAAATATCAGCATCAGAGCCACAGCTCTCACACTTCTATCTAAACTCTAAATGAGAATTGTACCCCAAATGATGCCCATATGCTAGTTATTTACAAAAGGCTTTCAGGGAAAGGAGGTTAAGCAGTTTGATGGAGCTTGTCAGCATGCAATGCCTACGGAGCAGATGCAAAGTAAGTGCCTGCTGTACACATGGCTGGAGGCAAGGGGGAGAGAGAAGTGGGGAGAAATAGGAAGGAAAAGTAGCAACAGGACTGCAGCTGATTCGCTCCCCATCTTCTTGCTTTCTTTCTTTTTTTCTTTTTCTTTTCTTTCTTTTTTTTTTCTTTAATGGGAAACCAGTTTAATTTTACTGTGTGTCATTAAATGCCAGCCTCTGCCAAAAACTACCACAGAAGAGGTGATTAACTTTCAATAATTCCTCCAATAAAAGGCAAAGATAGACCTCCATTACCTGATTTTTGGATCCTTCCTCACCCCAAAACATGTAACTCCATTTTAGAAAGAGTTACAGACATCCCAGAGTTGCTGTTTTACTGACTGACCCTAAGCCTCCAACTCCTTATTTCTGTCTATTCTGTCTATTATGGTATTCCTAGAACAGCAGATGCAGGTGGGAAGCCAGCATGGTGCTTAACTCAAGATGGAATTACACCAGTTTAAAATCACCAAAGATCCCTTATATATGATGCTAATTAAAAACAAAACACAGAGAGTCAAAAGAAAAAACTTCAAATTCCACACCTGGCAACTGCAGAGAAACTCCTCTGACTCCCTAAAGATTTCTTTCAGCAGGTAGTTTAATTTGTTGTACCTGTTGTTGTTTTCTGTTTCCACAAAGGAAATTCCCTCTGCATCAGCCACAAAAAGTGACTCCTTCACTTTCAGGAACAGGAACCACATTTGGTCCAGAAGCCTAAATTGTTGGTTAATTAACAGTTATCTTTAGGAAATGAATCAAGTCCCTGAAGTGAATGTAAAGGTTACCGGGAATTAGCAGCATAAAAAAGACCACCACAAGGTTTCATCAATACCACTGTGTGTCATATTGTCATGAAAATTAAACATACAGGAGAAGAATCCTATTTCCAGCTACAAACAGAATATGTATGAAGGAAACAACTTCACTGGGTAAAAGCAGAAAGCAGATGTGGCAATACTTTCAGGCAGCTCTATAACAACCAGGTACAGACCAGTTACTTTTTCTCCCCCAGACATGCACTGGAAGCTAAAATGCACCATTTTATTTATTTGATTGTTTGTTTGTTTACTTGTTTATTTATTTATTTTGCATTTAGTAAGTTTGAAAGTACGCAACTGTTTTGAAATAGCACTAATATCAACCACAAAGCAAGTTTTAGCCTTGGTACCTAGACCACTAATGTCCATAAATCCCCTCTGTTTAGCAGCAAATAAGCACTGTTGATAGTTTTCAAGAATTCATATAACCAAGAGGTTTCCTCTGAACTGGCTGAGGAGGTGCAAGCAAAACCACTGTGAGAGGAGTAATCTCCTGTGTAAGTACCAGGGATGTGAGCAAAAGCCTTCCCTGGCAGCACCAGGATGCACTACACAGGAGAGCCAGGGGAATCTTGCAGAGCATGGACCTTGGTCTCACTCTGCCGCTCCTCCCAGCCCCAGCATCCCTCCCTCTCAGCCCAGCCAGCTCTTCCCGTTAGCTCCTCACAACCAGAAAGCAGATGCTGATGGCTTCATAGGTTTCACTTGCTCTGGCTTGTACTTGAACGAGGGTATCTACTGACTGACTGAATGCATTTTTCTCTTCATTTGTTCAAGACACCAATGCAAATACAGAAAAGGTCATTACTTGTTCAAAGATGTTAGTTAAAAATTTCCAATCATTTTCATGCCCAAGAACAATTAGCAGCACACTGAGAAACTGATTTATTTTGTCAGCTCTTCTTCCACATTAAACTTGGGATAGATGTCTCCTGTATTAGGTCAAGTCCATTCAACAATATCTAATTGAACTACATGTGTTGTAGTTCAGGCTTTTACCTGCAGGATACGAAAAGCTAAGAGGGCAGAAGCTGTCCTCCTCAAATGCATATGGCTACTGCCTACTGTCCACAGCAGCTATTTAATGTGTACAAATGGTGTCATCTCCAAGCTCTAGGAGTTTTGTAGGCTCAAGACTTCATTATTTAGAAACCATATAATAGAATACAGCCCTTGGATTTCCCATTCTTCTCTGAAACTTTCAGCTATCTTTTCTTTTGATTAAAAACTTCCAGAACTAAAAGAATTATAGTTTCTCAGGCAGAATCTACATGAGAGAGCTGTAACAATATTATCATAAGCATTTACTATTTTTAAATTGCAGCACTCTTTTCCACTGCTTCATCTCTATACATCATCCCCATGACAGCTACCACACCAAGGTCTGTAATTCAGTAACTGCTTTCTCTCCCTACCCCTCTACACATTTTGTGATTGCACTGCGTAGGAGGCTGTGTAAAACTAATGATGCTGTATTGTAAAAAATCCTCACTCACATTTCACTCTTGTGAAATTGATTCTTGTCCTGATTTGGCAGGTTCACTGGTGTTTCATGAAGTCAATGCTTTGGGACAAAACAATTATCTCCAATATTAATCTTTTTTTTTTTTTTTTTTTTTTTTTTTGGATTTGTAGCTTGAAAAGAGTCAGCACTTTCTAACTGGCATGGTGACACCCTTTGTATATATCAGTGCACTTCAGCAGTGTACTGAAGCCCATTTGATTTATCAGCCATTTCCTCTTTGTCCTCTTCTCTACAGTTTAATTTCATTCATAATCTCAGTAAGTTCAGTCATTTCCCCTTTTCAGGTCATTTAAAGGGATTTAAATCAGCTGAGATCGAAGTACCAATCCCCACACAGAGCCACACCGTTCTTACCCTCCTGCACCACTTTCTTCATAAATTATCAATGAGGCCAGGAGTTGGCCTGGGATGAGACCCATTATAGAAGCATGACCATCCAGGAGCGTGAAAATACTTGGATATCAGAGGTGATATGCACAACTCCAGCCCCAAGAAAAAAGCAAAGCCCTGGAAGTAGATCAACGCAATGATTTTTGCCTAGGCAAGTTAATGATTTCATGCTCACTTGCTGATACAGGGCAGAGATGCACCAGTGAAATGAATACTATGATGCAGCATCAGTCTGCATCGTTCAGACAACCAAGGCAGCCAGAGAGTTCCCTGCAGACTAACTCAGTCTGTTCAGGAGCTGAAAATGCAGCTACACTGCCCGCAGCTTCTGAGCTGGCTCAATTACAGCCATGTGCTAATGCAGCTATAGTGCTCCTGGCACCCAAACCTGCTTCCCCAGCTCCACCCTGCCTCACATACTCTCAGAAGAGAACAGATTTCAGAAAACTCAGCTCAATCTCAGCCAAAGACAC